TTAAGTAGGAATTTAATTTTGGTTCCGATTGAACGTTTTTCAGTAGTTTCAAGACATGCAAATCGTTTGAAGATAGTTAATTAAAATTAACCTTTTTAAAAGTAGTTAATAGTTGGAATTGCCTAGCAAACTAACAAATTTAAGTTTTCAAGGTGTAGGGGTGAGTATAGTAAATAAGATACCCTTGTAATCTTTCAAAATGGGAGATAGTACTGCTATCAGTAATAAACAAAGGTAAACTTTAAAACCAGAAAGGAAATTTTCCGTTACAAGGATTCGATTTACGTTTGATTAGGTAGTTGGTAGGGTAAAGGCTTACCAAGCCAATAATCAATAGTCAAGTTTGACAGAACTAATGACCACATTGGGAATGAAATCTCCCAAGTAGCGTATTGCTACCAGCAGTCAAGAATATTAGTCAATGCTCGTAAGAGTGAACTAGCTAACTGAAATCCTTGATGTGTCATTGAGGATAACGTAAGGGAAAATAATGCTATTACCTTACTATTAGTGTCGTCCAAGTGCTCGTGCCAGAAGACTCGGTAAGGCGAGAGACGCAAACGTTATTCGTCTTGATCAGGCGTAAAGGGTAAGTAGGCTGCTAAAAGTGTTCTATTTTATGTTTACTATTATAAACAAATAATAATAAAATAAAACCAATTAAAGCTAGAATCTAAAGGAGGTTAAAACAATACTCATGGTAGGTGTACCAACCGTAGATAATGAGCAGAGTGTTAACGGCGAAGGCATTTATCCAATAAAGATTGACGCTGAGGAACGAAGGTGAGGACAGAAAAAAGGATTAGAGACCCTTGTATCCCTCACTGTAAACGATGAATGGTAGTTACTAGAAAGAAATGATCTAGAGGCGATGTTAACACGAAAACCATTCCGCCTTGTGAGTACGACTGCAAAGTTGAAAACAAAAAAATTAGTCGGTTTCGGAGCAAACGAAGTGAAGCATGTTATTTAATGCGACGGTCCGCGTAAAACCTTACCAGTTCTTGTATAAAAACTTTTAGTTATTAATTTAACACGTTCCCTTTTTCAAAGGTAAAAGGAGTATTCTAATTAATTATTAAATAGTTAATAGGTACTTAATACAGGTGTTGCATGGCTGTCTTCAGTCCGTATTGTGAAAAGTTAGGTTAAATCCGTTAACGGACGCAATCCCTAGTCTTAATTTCAACTTAAGGCTTTATAATTTTGATAAGAAGTTATTTGGGGCTAAGACAAGCCCTTATGGCCCTCATGAACTGGGCTATTGACGTGCTATAAAGACTTTCACAAAGTGATGCAAACCTTCTCTTATGAAATCCCTATTGGGTCTTAGAGTTAAAGGATAAGCTAATCATTAAAAAAAGTCAAAATACAAAATTAATGTTACGGATTGTCACCTGAAACTTGGTGGCATGAAGGAGGAATTTCGAGTAATCGTTGATCATTAGGCGCAACGGTGAAGCTTAAATCCGGGATGAACTAACTGTCTGTCGCTGGGAAGAAGCTTATTTTGGTGGAAACTGTATTAAAGTAATATTTATAATATAAAGCTTATAGCTATAAATGTTTATATGAAAGTAGCATATAAATAGTTAAAATATTAATTATTATTAAATTTATTTAAGCCATTTGAGTAACATCTCAAAAGTCATAGCAAGGTAGTTGTACTGGAAGGTGCAGCTGGAAAATTAATTTTAATAAACCCCCATTCTGTTTCATCTGTTTCATCTGTTTCATCTGTTTCATCTGTTTCATCTGTTTCATCTGTTTCATTAAAAAAATTTAAGGGGTGGGAGTACCAGCTTGGTGGGCAAAGCACAAAAAATAAAGGAGTTAGCTGAGTGGTTTAGCAGTAAATTTACACTTTACGGACAGAGTTTCGATTACTCTACTCCTTATTAGTAGCAGTCCCGGATGTACAGTAAGATAATTTGACAACTGTCTCTTGTGACCTGTTCTTAACGAGTATGCCGAAATGGTAGCCGGGTGAATTTTAGGTATTCATAATTATAATTGATTGTAAGAGTTCAAGTCTCTTTACTCGTAATATTAACACCAACATCTTTAGCTGAATTGGTACAGTCTTTGTTTACGGAGCAAAAAATATTGGTTCGAGTCCAATAAGGTGTTAAAAATGTAAGAGCGTAGTATTAATTGGTTAGTATGGCGATCTCCAAAATCATCGGTAGGTGTTCGAGTCACCTCGCTCTTGTCAAAAAAGTAAGTAAGGCCATAACCACAAATAGCAAATCTGCGGGAATAAGAACCAAACTAAAAATGTTAAGTTTATTATTAATAATACCAATATTAGGTTCAATAATTTTATTATTAGTTACAGATAATGAAAAGGCTAAAAAAATAGCTTTAGGTACATCATTAATCAATTTTATATTATCTATTTATTTGTGGGTAAATTTTGATTCAAGTACTAGTAGCTATCAGTTTGTTTATAGTTTTAAAGAGTTAAGTTATTGTCATTTAAACATAGGTGTTGATGGTTTATCAATTTATTTTGTATTATTAACAACTTTTATTACACCCATAGCAATATTATCTAATTATAACAGCATAAAACATAATTTAAAATATTTCTTAATTTCTTTCTTATTATTAGAAACATTACAAATAGCTTTATTTGTTGTTTTAGATTTATTATTATTTTATGTTTTCTTTGAAAGTGTTTTACCTGTATTATTTATTGTTATAATTTTATATGGTTCAGGTGAAAATAAAATAAGATCTGCTTTATTATTCTTTTTATATACTTTAGCTGGTTCATTGTTTATGTTATTAGCTATTTTAGAAATTAATAATTATGTAGGTTCAACTGATTTTCAATTGATTTCTTTATCGGAAATTAATTTACAAAGTCAAAAATTATTATGGTTGTAACTCTCCTTCAGCAAGAGATAATTGACCAACGGATTAACTCCTTCAAGTATAAAACCTTTAAATAATAAAAAGATAGGCCCGCAAGGACACAGCACACACTTAGAGCTTTTGTCAAACACCTCTACATTTACATTTGTATTATTCTAAGGGTTACTGACGGTAAGAATAACATCTACTACAGTGATCCCGGTCAGCACAACGCAGGCTGTGATTAAATTAGGATGGGTTTTACAAGCACTTTTGTTTAATGTTTGTTTAATGTTTGTTTAATGTTTGTTTAATGTTTGTTTAATGTTTGTTTAATTTTAAAGATCCTGAAAGGGTTATTTTTTATACTAAGGGTTATTTCTGTGTGGCAAACTCGAGAGACCTCTTCTTTTTTTGTTTAGTTTTGCAAGAATAAGTAATTGCTAGAAGAATATCGTCGAACTAAGTCAATGATTTGGAAACTCTCATTGTAAAAGCGTAGAGGCCAGACGCCACATGATCGTCTAAGTAACAATAAATTTGTTATATGAGATTAGAAGGAATGGTCCAGTTCACCGGTGACGGATTTTAGATTAACACCTAAATAAGGTATAAATTTTACAACCTTGTCTTCTTTTGGGGGGGTTATACTGAGAAAATAAGCTAGCTGTTTCTGAAATGATTAAATGCTTAACCCTGAGCCTTTTTCTTAGCTTTTGCTGTAAAAACACCTTTATGGCCTATGACTGGGTGGTTATATAGAGCTCACGCAGATAGTCCTTTAGCAGGTTCAATAGTATTAGCCGGAACCATATTAAAATTAGCAACCTATGGTTATTTAAGAGTATTAATAAATTTTTTACCAGATGCAACTCATTACTTTAGTCCTTTAGTACAAACAATAGCTTTAATAACAATAGTATATGCATCTTTAGCCACAATAATACAACAAGATGTTAAAGCTTTAATTGCTTATTCTAGTATATGTCACATGGGTGTGGTAATATTAGGTTTATTTTCTAATACTTTAATAGGAATAGAAGGTGCCCTATTATTATCTATAGCTCATGGATTTGTATCCCCTGCTTTATTTATTTGTGTAGGTGGTATAATTTATGAAAGAGTTCACACAAGAATAATTAATTATATTAGAGGATTAGTTACATATATGCCTGTTTTTACTATCTTATTTTTTATATTTACTTTAGCTAATACTGGTATACCTTTATCACTTAATTTTTTAGGTGAACAAATGTCATTAATAGGAATATGGGAAAGATCCCCTTTTGCTGCCCTAATAGGTGCTACAGGAATAGTATTTAGTGCAATTTATTCCGTTTATCTTTATAATAGATTATCTTATGGATCTTATTCTCCATATTTAAAACCAGTAAAAGATATTAACAGAAGAGAGTTTGTTTTATTAATAAGTTTATTAATACCTACTTTTGTATTAGGTGTTTATCCTAATGTTATATTAGATACTCTTCATGCTTCAGTATCCACATTATTATATAACGTTTAACCCTTTAAACCCTTTTTAATATCCTACTCTAAGTAGTAATAATGGTAGTTTATAATTTATAATTATTTGATTTAACTAAAAATAGAACAATAGCTCCTTATTTAGCAGCAAATGAGAAATAAGATTTATTATTTTGTAAGTCTATTGTTAATAAACACATTTTAAATTAAAACTCTCAAGTTCTGATAAAATGTACCAAATGTACCAAATGTACCAAATGTACCAAATGTACCAAATGTACCAAATGTACCAAATGTACCAAATGTACCAAACAAAATATTAGAGGAAGTAATACCAATACTTTTGAATAATTTTGTATAGGCTAATCTATCATTACTATCTATTTTATCATTTTCTCTAATTATAAATTTAGATATTCCAAATCTTCCATATAAACTATTTAATAATAATTTAGCTATAGTATACATAAGATCATCTTTATCATTAGATTCTTTAAGTTTAGATAAATCATTAATATAATTACTAAATATATCTTCAGAAGTATTAGCTCCTAAATCTACAAAAGATTCAATCTGATAAAGTTAATTTTTACCCCTACTACTACAAAAAATTGTCATCAGGGGTTCTCACTGCTATAACAGAAACTATGCTAAATAAAGTAATAGTTTTTATTCAGTTTAGAATAATATAATGAGAAACTTAATTTTCTTTCTAATTATACTTTTCTTAATGGCACCTATATTATAATTCTGAGAAAAATATAAGCCATTTAATATAAGTGTCTGATGTTTAATTAATTATAGTTTTAATTAATATTAGTAATAGAAACATTAGTACGTATTAATCCACTTAAAGTGGTTACTCTAATCGACTTAATATTGTAAAAAGATATTATAGTTAGCCTTAACACTTTTTGTGACAAAAGTAGGATTCTTTTTAAAAGTTTTGGGAGAGTTAACAAATAATAAAATAATAAAATAATAAAATAATAAAATAATAAAATAATAAAATAACCAAAATACCAATGACATTAAAACAATTTTTAAATTCCACTAAAAAAGGTATAGTTAAAGGGTTAACTGTTCAAGTTTTACCAGCTAAAATAAACAACTTCTATAAAAATCCTTTTGTAAGAGTAATAAGAGTAATAGGTGGTACTTGCTTATTTTTATGTTTAACTGACAAACATTTAGCTTTACCTTTTCCTTTACAATGTTTAGTATTATCTTTAGGTTTAATACAAATAGTACACATGTTCATTTTTTATATTCTTAATTCTTACTATACTATGAAAAAGTTAAGAAATAATCCTGAATTATTTCAAGTAAAAAAATACCCCTATTGACCTTTTAGCGGGTAAAGTAGCTAAACTAATAACTTGTTGGAGCCGGATTTGTAATGCAGCTAGTGGTGGTTTATCCTTAGTAGGAGCCGGGTTGATGATCGACCAGTTTTTAGAAGCTGGAGGTCAGGAAAAAATATGTTTGCCATATTTAAGCAGCCTAATTTTTAAACAAAATCCAAACAATTTAGTGGTTTATTCTGATGAAATAAAAAAACAAGTTGAAATCCTAAAAACCATAGAGTATCAGGTAAACTGATACAAAATATAGATAAAATTTAAAGCAAAGAAGCCTTAGAACAGTTAGGGATAAGTTTACCAGAATCTGAAGAAATAAGAAGTAGTGTTTTAGAAGCCGTTAAAGCAAACGAAGAAGATAAAAAAGAAATAGCTAAAAAAATAGTTGATATTACAAAAAATATAAAAAAATAGGTCTTTCTACACTAATAACAGTGGTTTAAAAGTTGTTAAACTATAACTTAGTTTCATTTAGATAGTTGCTTTATTTTTTTAATCTAACATGTCTCAGAGTGTGCTTGAGTATAAGGAGATTAAATAGCTAATATCATTAAGACCATATCCCCCAAATAAGTAAAATAAGTAAAATAAGTAAAATAAGTAAAATAAGTAAAAAAAGTAAAATAAGTAAAATAAGTAAAATAAGTAAAATAAGTAAAATACTTCCGGAATTACAAAAATAAATTAAAGTTGTGAAATGAAAATTTTATTATTAAATTTTATAATAATTACTGCTATGTTAGCCCTTTTTATGTTTAACTGTGAAATCCTAAACCCTTGCCCTGGCTCGAAGCGCTCCCCAACTCCCTCCCGTTGTGTTTAATAAGGGATGTTAACTTAATGGTAAAGTATTATATTCTTAATATTAATTATATTGGTTCAAATCCGATACATTCCATTTTAATAAAATTTGAATAATTTGAATATTTTGAATTCTTTTTAATTATTTTGAATTGTTTTAGTTCAAACAAAAAAATTGTTTCTTATTAATTTAATAAACCGACAAAATTTTAAGTAAATATAATTAAAAATATAAATCTGTTAAATCTAAAAATTCTGCTGAATAGAATACAGGTAAATTGCTATATTCTAAGTAAGATGTATCATTTAATATCGATGGAGAACCAGGTGCAAAATTCTCTCTGCAACTACCAACCCTGCTTGTTCTTCTAAACGACATATTTATTCTTTCATTAAACAGAGTGTTCAGCCACATAAGATGAAGGTCATGTGCTGATTTAGGACCTAAGCCTCCGGCTTCATTTCTTGAGACTGTGCCGAAAAAACTAAAGCACAGGATATCTTCAAGTGTATTTAAAAACCCTTCAATTAAAGTTGTTCATGGTATTGATTTATTAATTGTTCATCTTTACCTTCACATTTGCCAATACAGCTTAAGGTAAGATTACTTAAGAATTTATTAGTACTTTCAAATTGACCTTTGCAAATTTTAGTACTTCAAAAACATCAATTGCTTTTTCCATTGTTAAATTTCTCCTATAAGCTACTTTACTAATAACGGAGACCTGCCCCACCTACCGTAGGAGTAGAGGCTTCTTGTCCATTAGATAAATTTGTTTTATCCGACCAAACAATTAAAGAATAACATTTATGAGAATACATAACTAAAGGATAAGATTTAGGAGAATACACAACTAAAGGAAACTGAGTAGTAAGAGATGTTTCATTTACATTTATAATTCTAATAGGTTGTTTTTCTAACCCTCTTAAGCTTAATTTTACTTTAACAATATTTACGTCAAGAGTTTTCCAGTTTACCTCAAAAGATAGTCTACTTGTTTCTACAATTTTACCGTTTAATAGACCAACAAAATTGTCAAATGTTAAATTTTTAGTATTAGCACCACTTGCTTTTATTACAATTTTATCTTTAGAACACTCCCACCAAAAAAATAATTAGATCTATTAATAACAAAATTATTATTACTATTTTTTACATTTTCAAGATTATTTTTATTAATATTATACATACAATCAGGCTGGCTGGGGGCCCCACCCTGGAAGGGAGACATTTTTAACCACATTCTCATTATAACCAATATCCACAGCAGATGTGCCTCCTCAACTTTCACATTCCAGTTATCCAAAGCTTTAGCAATAGTTAACAATCCTTGTTGAATGTTAAACACTTTCTGTATTAAAAAATCAGAACAAATAACCACTAAAGCCCCATAAAAAATAGTAACCAAAATAAATAACATTTTAGGATCCCAAGCCTGGTGCCCTCCAACACATTTCATATTAATAAAGTAAATAGCTACAATTTTAGCAATACCCAGCATATGAACATTCACCCAATCATCTTTAAATAAAACATAAGAAATTTAGAATAAGTGAATTTAGCCTGACTATTCTTCATAGAATACACTTTCATAATAAATACAAATCCCATAATAGCGGCCCCAACCATACAAGTAAATAATGAAGCAAATAAAGCAAAATAATAAACATAACAAACCATAGCACAAATAGCAATAATAACAAAATAAATAATATCAATTATCCAAAAAAGAGTCCATCCTCTAGTGATTATATTTAAACTAGTCATTACACAGTTAATCCAGCTAAGTATATATCTAATATTAAGTTTTAATTGTATTTTCATCATAGATGCCCCAAGTCCCTACTATATCCCCCCCATAACGTACACCCAGATCTACTTATTATTAAATTAAGAGAGTACGTACTTTATACCGATCTATCGTGGTACCAGAGGTAGACAGACTTCATGGAGACAATACTTTATTAGATTTATAAATAATTAATAACCGAATATAGACTCACATTTACAAATTAACATAAAGATTAATAGTTTACAGAACCTACGGATACATTACATTTATATAATATTACAATTATAGATTTAATAAATAATTAATAACCGAATCCATACTCGATGCTACATTAATAATCAATATTCTTTATACTGTTACATCAATATACAACTTACTAAATAGAATTAATAGTTTAAATAGTTTAAATAGTTTAAATAGTTTAAATAGTTTTAATAGTTTTAATAGTTTTATATTCTAACCTACTTATGCTTTACAGTACGTATTAATCTTTATATCTTAAGATTTAACTTAACCTACCGGGGTACATTACATACATTACACTACTTGTACCTTAATAATAATAGTTTACTAACTTACCGAGATACAATTAAGATTCATACAACGATCACTACTCATACAAGAAGTACTACATTACAACTATATACATTATTAACTTAATGTTAACATAAAAAGGGATACATCTATAGGGATATACCCTACATAGATTAACCTAAATTAACCTAAATTAGGCAGGGTCCCCATACCGATACACAACATAAGATACGTTAATAACTTGTACAGTTAGAGGAAATTTAACTATCTTACCGAGATATATTTATATTTATCTACTTATCAAATACATACTGAGGTAGGACACTCTACGTAAGATGAATATTAAATTCCATTATCAAGGTGGTTCGATACAATTAGTAAGTTAGTTATTTATAAACTGGTTAGTTATTTGTTAATTTACAATCTTCGGGTGGTAATAAAGGTTACAGATAACAAGGTTAGATTTAAGAATTAATAAACGTAGACTCAACTTACAGATACAGAGTTATAATATTTACATAACCTTCGGATACAATATTGAATCTTCTGTTTCATCAACATACGGTACACAATTACAAACATAATTAACATACAAAGTAATAAGGAAGGATACACTTGGTAAGTAAGGAAAGGTTTACTAATACATTCGATACAGAGTAAGATAATAGTTATCTGGTGTTTCACATTAGTGAAGTTACATTCATACAACCTACGGGGTACACTTATTACGTGCGGATACATCACTACGTTCTTACTAATCACTTGTACCTTAGTTAATGGTTAGTTACCTATTCTAAATACGTAATCTAGTTATACTTTAATTAGCTAATTGGTAGTTAGAAGTAAGAATATACTTTAGTTATACCCCGCAGGGGGCAAGGCGCAAGCTAGAGGGAGATACATAATCTACGGGTTCTTAATAATAAGAGTTATAACTCACAGAGATCTACCTATGGTACTAATACAAGACTCTATTAACAAGTAGAAATATATACTAGATTCCACTCTAGTTGTCCCTTATCCTTAACCATTTTATCTATTTTTTTCTTAATCTTATTATTATCAAGATTTATATTATTATTAAGTATAATATCAGATAATTTATTATTAGTTGTCTGTAAATAACTTTAAAATTCCATATTTAAATAATCTATATCCACCTCCTGTATTTTGTTAATTTCATTAGTTAAATTCTTCTAAAAATTACTATTATAATTGTTAGTTTGTATAAAGTTAACCTCCCCACTTATCGGTCTCCCTACCTTACCTACGTCTAAAATGTCCATGTCCTCCCAGGTATCGTCCCAATTGTTAGGAACCTCGACAACCCCGTTAGTGTCAATACAACATCAATGATGTATAGAGGGTCCCCTGTAACAATTTGTGTCATAGACTCCTTAACTCAAAGTTAGTTTACGTAATGATCATCGCAACGTTGGCCTATTACGCTCTAACCCCTAAGTAGAGAGACCATTTTTGGTTTTTACCAACTTACGTCCACTTTCCATAAAAATTGCTATAACTTTTAGGAATTTATATCGTAGTAAGATTAAGATTTTACTAACTTACCAAGGCAATTTAAGGTTCATACAACCTACCGGTGTACTTTACATCTTTTGGAAGGATTGCACACTCGTACCTTAGTTATTTATTTAATTTATTTAATTTATTTAATTTATTTAATTTATTTACCGAATAGAGACTCACTATAACATTAATAATCCATTTGAGGTATACATTTACTCCATTACCGAGGTAAGTTTTAAGATTTTGATATAACCTTCGGGGTACTAGACTTCTGTGGTAGGATTACACACTTGTACCTTAAGGATTTTAAGATTTTTACTAAACCTTCGGATAGTTAGTTAGCAAATATTTGTACAACCTTCGGATTGAATAAAGTTACAGATTGTTGGGTCAGATTTGAGATCTTTATACTTTGTACAACCTGCCGGCACACTATACAACTAGTTACAGATTACTTTGGTTAATAAGTAAAATAATAGTTATCTGGTGTTTCACTTTGTTGGATTAATATTCATACAACCTACGGGGTACACTACTTACATGCGGAGACATCACTTACTTGTACCTTTATTTAGATTAGTTAAGTTACCGAATACATACTCAATACAACATTAATACATTTAATAAGATAGTTACTTACCGATATAGACTCTGGTACAACATTATTAAGAATTAGTTAATTGGTACATACATACAAGGTACTGGACTTCTATGCCAATACATCACTACGCTCTTACTACTCCAACGTACACTTAAGAAGTTAATAACTCTACATACATTTATACTTTACTAATCTAATTATACTTATTTATATTATAAATATTATTAATATTATTTTATCTCTATAAATATTATAATCTCTATATACTCTATATTAATACAATACATTTATTATACTTAATACTTTATCTATACACTCTATTTATTAATCTATCTAAGTATCATCAGTATTATCTACCTAAATCTATTACACTATAAATATTATTAACATTATAATCATTATAATCATTATATTACTTATCTATCTCTATATACCTTACTATTAATACCTATACATTAGTTACTATTCTAGTTAGCTACTTATCAATATTATCAATATTATCAATATTATCAATATTATCAATATTATCAATATTATCAATATTATATCTTAATTTACACCTATATTATTATACACACCTATATTATTTATCTAATCTATACTACTATAACTTAAATAACTTAAATAACTTAAATAACTTAA